CTTACTAATGCTGATTTAAGTAATAATGTACCGACTTCGATAAAAAAAAATAATAATTTTGAGAAAGAAAAATTTATAAACACATGGACACAATATAATCAATTATGAAATATAGTTTAAGTGCCCATTATCTATATTATTATGTGGATATTGTCTTACTTGTGTTGATTTAAGTATTAATGTACCAAATTCTATCGAAATCTTTAATTTTTTATCAAGAATATTCAAGTTGTATTAGAAATTGCAGTGTATTCCCATAATATTTGCTCATTTCGATGATTACAATGTATTTAACTATCAAATTATTAAACAGAAAATTAACAAACAAAGCTATTTTTTTTCACAAAATTGTTTATTTTCACTTTCATTTAATAAGTTATACTAACGTTGACAAATCTATATTACTTGACCTACCTACACACTGCAATTCTGTTGTTTGATATAATAATTGAATTTTCATTTAATGTTTAAGCTATTATAAGTGATTCATTGATACGAAATCAATATGATATTGACAATTCATCATAAAATAGTGAAATAATTATAATGAATAAAACATAATATGATAATTTATAGGCTTATAGCTATTCTTTTTACACAAGCTGCACATCTACATTGAGTTATATTGAGGGTACAGCTGTAACTGAACTCAGCATTTTGACATTTCCAAATGCCGTGTCTGTAAAACACATATCGGCATTTAAAATCGGCTTTAGCCAAACAAACGAGGAATATTTTTAGGCAGTGGGCATACATGCATACAATTATTTCTTTTGTAATTTAATTTGGAAACTCGTAGTACATTGATTATATAATAGTACCGCCAATTATGCTCATAGTAGCTACATACGAAAACGCTCCGGATGGATATATGTATAATTTATTATGTAATCGGTAATATATTATACAATGTCGGACTGAACGAATTTTTGGCATTATTTTAACAATCACAAAGATAATTTTTTTTTAAAAGTACACATTTTATATCGTGTGCCCACATACCGTGATAAAGGTTCACGTATCAATTATACGACTCGACCGCAGCTGTTGCAGTTCGAGTCTGAAGCTCTTCGCAAGCTACGAACGCTGTCTACGTACCTAAGTGGCATACACCTGAAACCCATCAAAACCATGCCAAAAGTAAGTAATCGATAAGTTATTGTGATACTTTTGACTTTATAGATTTTGGGTGGAGCGATGAATGTATTGATTTTATAATGATGTGTGTGTGTGTTGTTGTTTTTTTTGTATCTGTCATCACCTTTTTGGGGCAGTAAAAGTGCTTCGATTTTTTTCGACAGCATCTTGTCAGGTAGGAAGTGAATCTAGTCGGTACTCTGGGGGATCAAAAATAAAAAATTCCAAATAGTTTTCAAAAGTGGCAGGAAAGGCGGGAAATTTTACTGGAACTAGGTTTTTGATATGTTTCTAAAAAAAAAATACCGTTCCTCTTGCTCAGTCGAGAGGGTACTGCCGGCTGAACCGCAGTCGGTCGTACATTGTAGTCCAGAGCGCCGTCGAGAACCCCCCTGCAGGATCGGCGTCCTGGTCCGACAGTCCTGGTCTCCGCAAATCCTTTTGTTGGCGTGCATTATGTCTGAAATGAAGAGTCCCTGATTTCATACCAGAGTTTCTATCCAAACATTTATCCGGTTTTCTGAAGTGATTGACGTCTAAAAGCTGTTGCGTTTTGAAAATATAAATAAAACATTTTTTAGATTTTTATTTATTATTTATATTTTCTTTTTTTTTTGTTCATAATTTACAATAATATATCTATAATTAATATAACTAATATGGAAATACCCGACAGGCCATTAATAATTATATTTAGCACAAAATACAAACCCAATAAACCTGAAGCAAATAAGTATATAATAGAATTGTTTTCAAGAAATATCAATAGGTATTTTTACACACACTCGTAGATTTTACAACACAAAGAATAATAAGAGTATAAGAATAAATCAGAGATAGGCACAATACTTTCAAAATTATATTAAAATACAAAATACATTTGATGTTTACCTAATTGCCAAACAAATGATACCTACTGCATTTTCAAAAACCTATTTTCAGCAGAGCGACAGCCACTTATATGCTTTATATATTGCTAGGTATATTATTGCTTTATTATTGCATTATTAAATAAGTTAAAAATGTTATTACTTCTTCACTATTCATTAAAAACAAAACTATACATTTTAAATAACAACCAATAAAGACCAGTCAAAAACAACTAACTAATTTTATACTGTAAGCATTTTCAATTTTTCTAATAATCTTACATAATTTATAAAATTAATTTTTAATAATATATCATTACTTTTTTTTAAATTAAATATAATACTTAAAAACGTTCTTTGGAATATCTAATAATAAAGAAAAAATAAATACAATGTATACAATCTACAAAATGTAACTAAAAATGCCCATTTATATTAAAATATATGCAAAATATAATTTACTGTAGGTGATTGATTTTATGTTATAACCTAAACATTTTTTAAATTTGGTTTGCACTATGAAAGACTAAAAGATATAATATGTAAAATCTATAAACGTCTGCGTCCTATAATAATAGTGATCATAGTTATAATATTAACTAAATGGGTAAATAATGTAAAATGTTATAACTTGAAAGTATATTCCTACCTATATAATAGGTGTATGATACTTCAACAATTGTTATTTTTTCTTTACTTAATTGAGTATGATGACGGAACAACAAAAACAATTTTATTTTATTTAAGAATAAGAAAAAAATGAGTGTACAACCTGTTAATAACCAATTTATGCATGCTTAAATGTACTAATATTTGAAAGAATAAAGATGATTTCTTTTGTATTCAAAAGCGTAATTTTATTTGTTTCTTACAAAAGTCTGTGATCTTTCTGGAATACAAACAAAAAGTAAAAAAAAAATGTTTTTTTAATTAGGTACCATTATAATTTTAAATTCAAGGACATATTAGATTTATCGATAATTCTTCCCAAAGGGCATTTTTTTCACATTCGGTTCCACGGTTAAGGTGTAATCGTTGCCTGAACATAAGGAACGGTCGTTTAAAAGAACGTTGGCCGCCGTTCGTCGGAGAGTTTTGTGGAAATACGAAGGTGAAATGTAGAACAAACCGAAAAACGTGATGACGAAAAAAATTGTTTTCATGACGAGAAATACTATGTAAGTATACTTTTATGATAAACACATTGTGTCGTTCGTTCCTGAGAAAAATTGAAACATATTCATCCGAATGTAAAATTGTTTATCAGTCACTGAGGTAGTTTTGGATTGAACGAATCTGTGGATGGCGGTACTTCCGAAAGTGGATACAAATGTTGTACGATCAGTCGAGAAATATTGAACATTTGGTCGCAGCTGGAATGTCGATGTCCATGGACCTGCTGTCGACGACCAAAAAGAACAACTGTCTAATGCCATTTCGAAACTCTTCAAAAACGAAAAGTAAGTGTTGACATTAATTATGAATTAGACGTTTGATCCCTACTCCATTTTTAATAGTCTTTGTTCAAAATGTATATGACGTTATGACGTTATGTTTATGTTGTTTATTGCAGCTGTTCAAATAATTTATACTTCATAACATATTATATACGACTACATGTCACTGAGACTAGGAAATTCTGTATGCTTACTTTAAACACACGACAAGTTGTGCGAATGATTGTACAAACGATAAGACATTAACACCTACCTCATTGCGCCCACATCCTGATGATGTCATCTCTAGAGTTTTAAATAGGTATCAAGTACCTATAAATTATTAAGTGTTTAATCTATTTTTCAACAACCATAATACGTACCAAGTTCATTGCGAACCAGCATTTTTTTTTTGCCACTTCATTATTATACAAGCACCACTGTGGTACGTACTTAAACACACATGACACATACCTATTATTATTTTAGTCCTTGAGTATGTATATTTCTTTGACTTAATAATTATTGATAATATCATTACAGTGATTAATGATTATATACTATAGATATAGGATTTTACTATCCATCTGTTTTTTAAAATTTTTTTTATTAGCATTCCGTATACAATTATTATAACTTAACAATTTAATGTTACGTAAATATTAAAAAAACAAAATACTATTAATAGAGTAGTGCTTAAATATTTAATGTAAAATATTAATATTCAAATTAACCGGTTTCGAAATATCAGTCAATAAGATCTAGCTGTAATCTGCAAGTTAACGAGATAGAGATAATTTGGACTGTAGTCTATAGAATATATTGTTCTAGCAGTACAGCTGTAAGGAGGAAAATTAGTGAATTTACTCAGTTCTGAGGTAAATTTGGAAAATGGTTTTTCGTTGTCATAATAGAGCTATTAGATTTTTGGATATTATAAAAATCGGCGACGGAGGCGTAAGAAGCTTTGGAAAGGTAAAGTGGTGATTTGAGAGTGCAGGGAGACGTGAGTTCTGTGTTTGGATTTTGACGATTTAAATGAGTTGCTGTGCAATGTTTGTGCCGTGTTTTGTATTTTGAATATCCTTTGTAGCTGGAAGTACGATCACAAGCGCAAAAGGCGCACATAACGTGAAAGATGAAGGTAATAATTAGCGGTGAAAATAAGGTCTGACAGTGTTAACACTGGGTGTACCACTAATAGTCTTATGAGGTATACTTTAATTTTGGTATACAACATTACTTAATTAATAATCGCGATGGCGGAACGGAAATTTCATTATTGCTCGTTCGAGTCATCAAGTTGCAGATCAACACTTGACTGATTTTAAAATATTAGAAACACTACAAAAATAAATCCATAGGAAAACAAAAATATATCTGTTACATTTCATTAAAAATCAATTATCCATTTTTTATCTTTTTAATAATTGAATGGAATTAAATACCATATCCCGGAAATCGGAAGTGAACAACCATGCTATCTGATTTATTCTGTTTCATGGATAAAATAAGATTTTCAGAACGAATGTGCAGGTACATAATCTAGTCTCAAACGTTAGTCCTTAAAAACGATTTCTATTATACGGTAACATCTATAATTATAATGCACAAAACAGTTTTTCTTTTCGATTTCAATTATATTTATTCTTAGTGATCCGTCCATCGTGGGATGCAGAACAGTTAACAACCATAACAATCACATCAAAACAATAATAATAGTAAAAACAAATTTAAATAATAACAATTTAAAAACTAATAGGAATAATAGTAATAGACAAATACTTAACACTATTCGTATCCAACAGGCAATAGTGCGGTATTTGTTATCATGACAAATGACAATCGTTGACTACTAGACTCACTGAGTTTTAACTTTGTTATTTTTAAAAGCTTTTATACATTTGAAAACCTTAAAGACAACAAATGTGACTAGGAAAACAAAAATCAACAATACGGCCATTACGTCCAACAGAAGGTATTGATACCACGTAAGGTTCAGAGCGTGAGATTTCAAGTGTGGCGCGCCTTTGTGACGGATCACATATTCCGTCCAATAAACGACCGACTGTTGTGGGGTCATCGGTCGGTCTTTGAATCGGTCAGAAGTAATTTTAGCATTTGTCAGGTATCTGTAAAAAAGATACGCACAACATCATATTATAAGTATTCAACAAATCCTACAGTAGTACTATTGAGAACGAGTGGTATAGAAATGGCGTTCTTAATTACTACCATCTGAGACTTACTTTTCGTCGTCGATGAGTTCCGAAATGGCATTAGACACTTTTTCTTTGGTTACCGACAATAGGTCCATGGATATCGCCATTCCAGCCAAGACCAAATTTTCAATATTTCTTGGCTGATCGTAAAAAATTGGAAATCCCAGTACAGGAACACCGGCATCCACAGCTTCGTACACTCCGGATATACCTCCGTGACTGATAAATAGTTTAACTTTCGGATGTACTATAAACAATTTATTATGATTTATCATATTTTTATATTTTTTTCAGGAACGATAGACGATGTGTTTATCTATCAAAACGTGTACTTACATAGTATCTCTCGTTGAGGAAACCATTTTCTCGTCATCACGTTTTCCGGTTTGTCCTTCATTTCACCTTCGTATTTCCACAAAACTCTCTGAGGAACAGCGGCCAACGCTTCTTTAAACGACCGTTCTATATATTCAGGCAACGATGACACTTTAATCGTGGAACCGAATGTGAAGAAAATCACTCCTTGTGGTGAATCTTCGATAAAATCTAATATGTCCTGGAATTGAAAATTATAATGATACTCAATTAATTTTTTTTTTATAGTTATGTATTCCAGTGATTTGACAGACTTTGTAGTAACTAGTATAAAAACAACATTACGTTTTTGAATATAATTTTTTATTATTTCAACACTCGTTAATTGAACACGAATAAGTTACAAATCTTCGAATTGTTCACTAATAATTATTTTTCATCTTCCCTTATCATACTTATGTAGTTTTAGCAAATAATTTTTTTTAACTTCATCACTGTGTAAGTGCAGAAAAAAATAACAACTGCAGTATTATACTTCTATTACCATTATAAGGGTATGAACATTAAATTAAAAAATCACATTTTAAACTTTTTACCTCTATACGAGTACATAATATGTATAACATATTATGTGGCATTAATGAAAGAAATGAAAATGATCTACGTGCATATGAAGTCCAATTCTATTATTTTTGATACTGACATTGCAATTGCAATACATCGTTTGTTGCATGTTTTGAAATTATATAAAACTGGGTCGATATTTCAAAAATTAAAAAAATTAACGTAATTGGATTTTCTAAACACAATAATATGACTCAACTAGTTATTTCATAAAACCTATCTCATTTCATATTGACTTTTATACATTTTCTATATGTTTTTAATGTTCTTAACTTTTATACATTTTCTTTTCCAGTAGTTCACATTGCGGACCAAATTGTAAATGGGTTTGTTATGTAGCGGTTTGACGTAACCTCAATTAAATTAAATTTGATACATCAATTGCATCTACCTATTAGTACATTTGTAGGTATTTTTTATCATAAACTTATATTTATGTCTTCAGAAAATTGTATTATATCCTTCGTCATTTCTTTGTAATTTGCATACATTATAAATCATTAAGTATTTGATTTCAAAAAATATTTTTAAAAACCATACCAACCGTATAAAAAAATTATAAAACATTATTAAAAATTAAAAAGATTCGTACTATTAAAAATGGTCGGTAATTTTTAAATAGTTCTAGCATTCTAAACAAATGTTATCTCAATGTTGAATGTTGATTTCTATTTATTTATTGCAAGTACCTACATAGTTACATAGTTTGTTTATTCATAATATAATATATAGTTTTCTTTTATTAATTTATTGTCCGTAGTTACTCTACATACATTGTTTATGGAATTATAATTTTATCTTTTGATTTAAAATAAGTTTAGAAACCGTAAATATATAGCACTGAAATAATTCCTTCTTACTTTTTCTAATGTAACAGTGAGATCGACAACCGGCGATCCGCACGGCCGGAGACCCTAACGACCATTCTTATGGCTATTATTTTTTAAATCAAGGATGAAAATGTCAGATCTTTGTGTGACAAGACCCACGAAACTTTTTTAGTCTTAGAATAATTTGCCTTCAGGGTCCAAAAAGGTTGCTGACTTCTGATGTAATACAATATTTAATTTAAAATGTATATTCTAACCTAATTCTAATCATGTTTCAAACGTAGACATTTCAACCTGTTGATAATATTCAGCTGTCAGTATCTTATATAAACAATCCCATAATAATTATCTATAATAAGTGATACTAAATTCCCAAACGTATATTTACATTTAAAAATTAATTTTTAGACATCCTATTATTGGGTAATGTGCATAATCAATGTTAATAGCGGATGATAATAATGTTTAATGTTAATATATTTTATAATCAGAGTCAGAACTGCATCTAAGGTAGAACGAGGTCTGAGCCATTTTCTTTAAGGTGCTAAATCAGAATAAAAAATTGTATACAACATAACGCTGACTCTGAAATTAGCGTTTAGAATTTAAATATTAATAAGCTTAAGCGGAGTGTTTTAAGCTCAGAGATCATAACATATAATAGTGCACATAATAATCAGCCTGGTTTTATCCATAGCTCTAATTGCGATCATCGATTTGATTTATGTGTACATTTCTTATTTATATTCAAACAAACGATTTATAAATAAAATAAATAGGTATAATACAATAATATCTCTTGTAGATTTATACCTAACGCCTTTCAGCGTATAGCTAGTAAAGAAGGTAGAGAGTTAATATAAGTATTTTAAAGTGTATTACGTTTGCTATAACAGGTTATTTTGACACAATTAGTAATTATATATAAATAAATAATTAAGTTCAATAGAATTAAATTCAAAATCATTAATAACTAAAAATTTTAAAGATTTGATTAACTCTTGGCAATGATGATTGCCCATGATTATTAAATTATTCTATACTTAATAATCACCATTTTTTTAAAATGTTTTTGTAAAATTGAAATACTCTACACCAAGGTAATCTATGAGCCAAAAGAGTGTTAGTCTTAGTATAATTGATTTTATCTCTGCTTTCCCTAATTTGTTTAGATTTATCATGATCTTACCGATTTCGCAAATTTTTTACCACCCAAAATTATGCTAATTTCCCATGAACTGACTTAACTTGAAGAGCATTAAGAGGACGCTACACCCTCGTGTGTTGGCTGTATCTCAAGATGTAGTGATTATAACTGTACGTCTCAAGTCAATAGGAAGAAACTTGCACAAGTGTACTTTCTCCAAAAACAGTGGTATGGAATCCCTTCACACCGTCATTTATTGATTACTCACTTTTGGTATAGTTTTGGCGGGTGTCAGGTGTATACCACCAACGTAGACAACGTTCGGAGTGACCGGTCTCGAGGCTTCGCTGGCGTAATGACTGTTCTGGAAGATGATGGAGGGGTTGATAGTCGGTGCCAGATCGTACGGTTTCGAGTCTGTAAGCCAAGTGACCATCCGGTCGTACTGTGCCCTGGCCAAGCCGTATGACAACAGAGCCGTGTTGGTAAACCTCTGGAAAAATGTTCCGGGCACGGCGTGGTTGGCCAATAAGTTGGACACGGAAGCCGGGTTAGACAGGTGACCGGTGAACATCCGCTCGGCATAAGTGATCATCGGCGACGGAATTGAGTAGATCACAGGTAGACCTAGATCATTGGCCAGGTACGAAACACAGTCAAAGCCCAATGGCTCGATTAATAGTAGATCGTACCGGTCGCGTGCCTCGGAAGCCATCAAGTCGGCCAGTTTTTGGTTGCCGTATACCGCGTCGCAGTAGAATCGAATCGCTCCGGACATGGCATTGATTAATGTGAAGGGGTTGCCTGCTTCCCGGATCATCTGCACTACATCCAAGTCGAGCTTCATCGGAAAGTCTCCTGACGTATCCACTTCCGTGTAGTTGGCCCGGTCGCCTTCGGGAAACGGCGTGAAAACCGTGACCTCGTGTCCGGCATCCGTCAGCGACCTGAGCACCGATCTCATGAAGTACCAGTGGCTCTTGCCAGCTACCGTTTCGACTGCCAGAATTCGGGCAGCCTCCCCGAGCGGCAGGTCAACCGACAGCCACAAGATCAAAGAAACCGCGGTCCATCTTTTAACCGTCGCCATAGAAATTATTATCTATGCGAGAAATACAGCAAGTGGTTTATGGTTTGATTTGGTTACGATATTTTCGTAGAAAGGATAGGTATCGGACCTATCGATTAGCACCGCTCGTTTGCCATGAGCGTTAGTACTCATGCGATGAGCTCCGGACTCGAACTACAGCAGAGGACGGTCGAGTTTCGTACGTACAATAACGTTTTGTGATTGACATGAACCGGTTAAAATATTGCAAACAATTTGAGCATTCAAACGTTATAGGCCTTGACATAATTATCATTCTCTAAATAGATTCGAAGTGTTTTCGTATTCGCACCTATAATAATACTAAAAGTGTATGGTGTTTACAATGTGTGTACTACGAGTTATCAATCAAATTACACAGGAAATAATTATTCCTGCAATTATTTTTTAGCCAAAACTGGTTCCCAATGCCGTTTCGATTCCTTCACCACTTCTGAAAAGTCTAGTCAATGATTGTACAAATTACGAGCCGCAGTAATTATCGCGGTACCTCATCACGCCCACGTCCTGACGAGACAAGTACTTAAATAGGAATGAAATACATATTTACTTTATTTATCAACAACCATTATACGTATATATACCAAGTTCATTGCCAAACTAGAACTTTTTTTTTTTGCTATACGTACTATTATTGCAGCACGTACTTACACATACATGTCGGTAACCTATTATTACACTAGTCCTTGCGTCTGCCGTTCGACTTGATAATTATTGATAATACCGCATTACACTGATCATATACCTAACTATATCGATATGATTTTAATACTTAAAAAATTACACAAAAATGTTGAAATAAGCTAAGTTACTGGGTAGAAAAAAAAACGTGTGTGCTGCAATAGTACTCGCGGACGCATTGAGACGCCTTTACCGTGAAAAGAACATTTATCGAGGTCAATTATTAAGTTTGCAATGGAAAAATAAAAAAATAAAATTTTCAATTGAAAATAATGTATTATTATTATACAATGATTAGCTGATAAAATAAATGTATTAATGTTCATCAGTTTATTACCATATGTTATGTTATAGACACTTTAAGGTCCAAACCTTAACACGGCGGGTGACGTTTTAGCTTAAGAGTCAGTTCACCCAGTTCGCTAGTGATGAGCAAAATCGTCTTGGTCTTGCTGCAAGACTGCAATGGCTCTGCAAGACTAAGACTGATCTTACTGATACAACAATCGAAATAGTGTATAACGTATAAATATAAAATCGTGGTGTGACATTATGTAGAATTGTCAAATCCTTATAATTAATCACGTATATCTATTATAGAATCTTAGCTTCAAAGTAATAAATTATAAAATATTTCCAAGCATAGACCTATAAACTAATAGACAACGATTAGAGAGAGAAAGGTCAGTAGTATAATATAGAGTGAGTGAGAAAAGAATCTAAATAGAAAAATGTATACCTATTACCTACAGTTTTTTATGAGGGCTCCTTCACTAATTTATGTTTTTTCTCTCTCTTCTTTTCTCAGTTATATGGTTCTAATATATTCGCCTAGTATTTATGGCAGGGCGAAGTGGATTGCAATGTCAATGAGTCTATAGGTTTATGTTTCCAAGTATTATGTAAACATATTGGAATTTATTATTGTTGTATTTTTTTATCGACTGATCAGTAATCGACGCCAGACGACTGTTGCCAATTGCCACCAGTTTATTGTCAAGTAGGTACTCAAGTCAACTCTATTCTCATTTTGATTTTACTTAAAATAACATCGGTACAGTTCTGTCTGTTAATTGTATGAAAACAAATTGGTCTGGTCCGAATTAGTCTCATTTCAAATAACATCGGTTCAGTTCGGTCTGTGAATTGTTAAAAAAAAAAAATAGTCTGGTTCGGTTAGTTCAAAATGTTAAGCAACAGGAATCGGTTGGATTCGCTTCAAAGTTCAAACTGTCCAATTCTAATTCAGTCTGGTCAAGTTTCGGTATAAGCTCTTATTAACTGGTCTGGTCCAGAACAAAAAAATCACGTACACAGCAGTGGGGTTCTCCCTATCACTGTCGATGGATTCAAAATAAACTATATAATAAATTAAAATATTTTTTCAATATTCTCATTTCAATGAGAATCAAATCAATACATTGCAACTAGCCTAAGTGTATTTTCCAGGGCTTGCATTTGAAAAATAAATTTTGTTTTACGTTATTTACAATCAAAACGTTATACAAATTTTGAGTTTATCGTTATTCAAAATTTAAACGTTATTCAACTTTTGTGTTTATCGTTATTCAGAATTAAAACGTTATACAATTTTTGCGTTTATCGTTATTCATAATTAAAACGTTATACAATTTTTGCGTTTATCGTTATTTAAAATTTAAAAGTATACGACTATGACCTTTTTTTGGGGACATAATTTCCCTATTCTGAGTTTTAAGTAGGTATTGTTTAATTTTATTTATTTAATTAAATGGGTTAAACTAATATAAAGAAAACGTATGCACGTTAAAACTATAAGTATATTAGTATAAAATATAAATATTAAACATTTGACAACAATTAGACAAACACTGACGAGTGAATAAATCTGAGCAAACTGAACACCGAACACAATAGTTGAATAACTTGAGTGGTATATATTTCGACCGTAGTACAGATAGTACAGTACAATATTATCAGAGCATCACTATTATTAGCTATTGGTAATTAAATTATTCTATTAATAACTTCTTATTAAGTTTTAAAATAATATCTAATACGGGATCTCCCGGATAGGCCGGATACGGAATAAAATTAATTCTTGGATTGAATAAATAATAAAATAGTACTAAGTATTATTAAATAATTGGGAATTAATTATTTCGTTTAATGGAATACAATATATACCGTTTTGCGTTATGTTTTGTTTAATGATACATCATATATTTTGTTAAACGTTACGTTTTGTTTTATGTTATTTATTTATTTACGTTTATCGTTTTCCGTTATAATTACGTTTACAAATTTCAATCGTTTTTTATCAAATATAACGTTATAATCATAACGTTATTATAACGTTTGCAAGCCCTGGTATTTTCCACAAAAAAAAAACTGTGGTGTGGACTTTTTACCAGTAATTTATCGAACACTCACTTTTGGTATTATGGTTTTGGCGGGTGTCAGGTGTATGCCACCAACGTCGACAATGTTTGGCGTGACCGGTCTCGAGGACTCGCTGATGTAATGACTGTTTTGGAAGATGATGGACGGGTTAACGACCGGCGCCAGATAGTACGATTTCGGGTCTGTGAACCAGGTGACCAGCTGGTCGTACTGAATTCTAGCCATACCGTACGCTAGCAGGGCCGTGTTGGTGAACCTTTGGACGAACGTTCCGGGCACGGCGTTTTGGGCCAACAAGTTGGACACGGTTGCCGGGTTGGACAGGTGACCGGTGATCTGCCGCTCAGAGAAGGTGAGCATTGGCGACGGAATCAAGTAGATCACAGGTAGTCCTAGAGCGTCGACCAAGTACGAAATGCAGTCGATGAATTGAGGCTCGATTAAGAGTAAGTCGTACCGGTCACGCGCCCCGGAAGCCCTCAAGTCGGTCAGTTCCCGAATGCCGTTGAGCGATTCGCAAAACAATCCGATCACTAAGGGCGAGGCATTAACTAACTTGAACGGATTCCTATATTCCCGAATCGTATGCATCACGTCCATATCGAGTTTCAACAAAAAGTCTCCGGAAGTATCCACCTCCGTGTAGTTGGCCCGGTTGCCTTCTGGAAACATCGTGAAAACGGTCACCGTGTGTCCGGCGTCCGTCAGCGATCTGAGCACCGATCTCATGAAGTACCAGTGGCTCTTGCCCGGCACTGTTTCGACGGCCAGGATTCGGGCAGCCTCCCCGGCGGGCATCGTCCACAGGTCGACCGACAGCCACAAGATCAGCGAGACCGCGGTCCATCTCTTCATCGTCGCCATGGGAATTATTTTTTTATCCGATTTTACGGTGAGTGGTTTACGGTCCGGTTTGGTTACGATATGATTACAGACAGATTACTCGACCTCGGGAGTAGATTGATTGTGCGATTTTGTGAAAGCCTGGAGAGCTCCGGATTTCACTACTACAGCAGCGTTGGTCGAGTATCGTACTTAAATAAGCGTTATGGATTTGAACCTTATAAAATATTGTAAACGATTGGGGCAATCAAACAATATGCGTCTTAACATAATTACTCGAGTAATTACATCATACCTAAATAGATCCGAAGTGTTTTCGTATTACTAAATAAAATAATATCTAAAAACATATGTGTGAAGCGTGTTCAGTGTGTTCTAACTGTTATCAATTAAAATACACACGAAATATTTATGCCTGCTGCAGCATAATATTACCTACTGCAAGCCATTGTTTGTTCAGCTAAATCTGGTTTTCAATGTCATATCGATTTCTTCGCTGCCTTCGAACGTCCCAAAATAGTTTATCAGTAATTGTACAAATGTTGAGACATTATCGCCGTATCTCATCACTCACACAACCCGATAACAAGGTGTTTTAAATAGGAATGAAATAAAAACATACGAAGTTCATTGCTGAAACTTTTTTTCTTGCCACTTCATTCTTACATATTCACTTTAATTGTTGTACGTACTTACGCATACATGGTGCATTTCTATTATTAAGCGGGTCCTTGAGACAGTCTCTTTTTTCGAGCTCTTACCAATTTATACAGGTAACTTAATGCTGTATAGTATTTCATTCAAGTAATTATATTAGTATAGATGTAAGATTTTATGGTCTTAAAACTCTAAGCAAAATTACCTAAAAATGTTAAAATAAATTAAGTCAATAGGTAAAATAAAAATACTATGCTTAAATTGTATATTAATAACATTGATTTTCTTCTTTTTAACAACTTAATGGAATTAATTAACATCAGAAATGGAGTATTGTGCTATTTAATTTATGCTGTTGAATTTATATTTTTTTTCTTTTTAATTGCACTTATTTAAATGTGTATATTTTATGTAATTTTTTTTATTTATTTTTCATACATTTTTTTTACTAAAAGCTTTTACACATTTAAAAAAATTAAAGACTAGGAATTTGACTAGGAAACAAAATCATCACTACAGCCATTGCGTTCAACAGTAGGTACCTATTGATACCACGGAAGGTTCCGAGCGTGAGATGGCAAGTGTTGTATTATGTTATTTTGTACTTTTTGAGAAACCAACGAATCGTGTGATAGAAAATCACAGATTACTTAACATTTGGGAACTTCAAAACACATTGAAAATAGCAAGTTGGAATCAAACAAAGACCAAGTTGATCATCAGTTTATAAAAACTTCGCTTGATCAAACTAGAACAAATAATCAAAATCCGAATGAGTTTAGTATAGATATTCCAATATTTGTACCTTACTCGTACATTAATAATCTTAATAACGGAACGAACATTTCAGTATCGCACTTTGTTGCTGATCAAAACGTGACTGATTTTAAAATATTAAAAACTCTAAAAAAACTGTCTCGCCAAAAATGTTGAATTAAATTAAGTCTATGGCTAAAAAAAATGTATCTGTTCAATTTTATTAATAATGACTTACTAATTTTTTCATCTTCTTAATAATTTAATGGAATTAAATAACATACCTGGGAAATCGGAAGTGGAGCCCAATACTATGTGATTTATACGGTTTTTGGTGTCCCCTGAGTTTTGGCAGCCGGACACATCATATGCCGAAAATCCATTTTCGCAGCGATAACGAGGCAAGGTCGTCCTAGACTATCGTTGTCCAGCGCACCTTGCTCGATCCACTAGTTGCCCGTACGGCCTGCTTCCCCCGTGGCTTTTAATCCGGTTTGGTATTGCGAGCCTTTCTTACCTTTGTACATTTCTTCTTGACGACGACATTTTTCACGGTTGAATGTGCTTCGCCAAAGAGTCTCGCCATCGTAATGCGTGTTGCGTGTTCACCAAATCGTACGCATAATATACTTACTCTGAGTGCTATCTTCCAGGATACCGGCCGCATGGACGTTACCACAGTTTACGCCACCTTCGGGCCAGCCGCCAGCGTCCTCCAACCACCGGCCACCGACATCGTCCGGTCACCAACTTCATACCAGCCCAAGTCGCAGCGTAAAGGTAAGGTCAGTTGTTATTACAATATGATACCTATGTTCGGTATCACACGGTTATATCAGTTGGTCATTGCCGCCACATTATGTAATTTACTATTTGTCCATTTTTTTTTCCTTTATTGTTGTATACACAATCTGTACCTCAGGGGTACAATAGTCAATAGGAGTATTAGCTAAAATACAAACAATTATGACATGAATAAGCTTGATAAAAGCAGCCAACCAGTGATGACACTTTTAAGTGAGGTTACACATTAATTTATACATATATATATACTTTTTTTTTTAGTCAACATGTCTCTACACCAGTTGCGTTTTAAGCGCCTTAGAGGATTTTCCGGAGTACTATTTGATGAAAATGCTTTAATGAGAGTGTTGGAATGTAATGCTAGATGGTTGTAGAATCTTTTATAATAAGATACTGCTTCTTTTTTAATAGTTCTGATTTTCAGATCTGTGTGAAGGGTATAATTTGATATATACGAGAGAGAGTTCGTTAATTTCCTTAAAGCAATATTTTGAAAAGCCTAAATGCGATTAAAATTTGATTTTTTAGCATTTGCCCACAGTTGGAGACCATAAGTCCAGATAGGTTCGATGAGGGATTTATATATTAGTAGTTTTATATTTAGATTTGTGTGTTTGTTATTAACTAGTAAAGTTTAAGCATATGAAGTCGACGGTTTAGTTGAAGTATTTTTACACGCGTATGTTGGGCTCAGGTGAGTCTACGGTCAAGGGTTTATCCAAGATATTTTACTGTTGGAGTAGACGGAATATGAGTACCGTAAAGAGTGACTGCCGGACAGTTACCTAGCTTAAAGGTTAAAATTTGTGTGATTTGATTTGGTTTGATTTACCTTAATCCTCCAATTATCATCCCAAGTCTCCATAAGAGAATTATACCCATTTGAGTGTAATTTTATTTATCATTTGTTCACCTGATTAGCGATACATCATCATACCATACAGATATATAGCATAAACTAGATTGCTAACTGTGATAATACTTGGAGCTACCATTCGCCATTTAAAAGGAGGCCTACGGGATCTT